TTATTTGTTTTCGATGATAAACTGACCGTTTGAAGACTAATTTAACATTTTTACGGTGATAACAGCTCATTGTCGAAGCGAAGCTATTAAACCACAATAAACATCGTACTCTTGAATCGGCGTCAATGACTACGGTAAAATTGTAAGGTTGTGGGTCAGGAGTGAGTGTTGTTTTGACTTGGGTATTGTGTTTTACATTCCAACAGGAAATTATTGCGTGGTTTTATTTTTGCGCTTTTGGACTCACCGCGAAATTAAAACCAAGCGAATGATTTCTATTTCTACATTCAATTTATTGCAATGGATATCCCAAAGTCCGTAACCTAATGTTATTGAAATTGTTTACTGTCTTACATTGTCATGTCCCAGTGTTACCGATGGTTAGACCATGGAGGTGGTTAGACATAGACAAACTACGTAACGATAATGCTGTTTGTAAATCAACAAGCTTTGTAGATTGAATAAACATCTAGGGGATTTACATTTTCGTTTACTCAAACTGTGATTGACAGAAATTTTGCATACATTAGCCACCATTTTAAACTCGTGATTTTCACTGGTCGTGGCACGTTTCGACCGAAAATAACAACATTTATACATCAAAAGCCCAACCAGACGAGTGTAATCGCTAGCGTACATATTCATGCCCCCGTGGATGTGTATTTGGAACCACAGCTTGATCTCCAAACATCGTAAATTGCATATTTCACGGAGCTCCCGCCACGATGTGAGCGGCTTGGTTCGGATTAGCATACTAATACGGTGGCCATCTTGACCCTTATTTACAGTATCGGTTCCCCTTTAAGTGATGTCATGACCTTGATCTGAATCAGTGACAGAAATGGACCACAGTCTGTTTTTGTTTGGTTTTATGAAAAATTAACGCTGAAATATTGAAAAAAGTGGTCAGAAATGTTCTGGTATATTATATCTTTAAACTGTAAAAATTGCATTCAATTATAAAAAGCCATCACTGAAATACCTGGTCACAAAGTTGAAGATCAGTGAAAACACTTTGCAGATACTGTTTATAAATCTTGGACAGGTACATTGACATACATGTATGTGGTCTAAATATAGCTTCAGTTGTCAGGGCTAGTGGATAAACAGGTCTTACCATTACGAATCTCAGTGGTAACTGTAGAGGGGAGTCAAGGCTACATTTTGATGGGAATTATAGTCGTGATACGGAAACAAACCCAGGTCATGGTAATATACAAAGACCTAAATTAACATGAAGTCAAATTAACATGAATTAACATGTTATTAAAGGTACATTAAAGTTTACTCAGATTTATGATGCAGTTTTTTGAGCATGTATGAGACATAGTTTGGTTGCACTTGTGTACTCTGAGATTTAGGATATGGGTCAATAGAAATTTTCAGTTATCAGTACAATCACTTTATGATGAGTTGTACCCCCATAGAGTACATATTAACTCAACTGTTTGCAGATGTTCCATGTATTATTTTAACATGAGTATTTTATAATTAAATGACGGGGAATGTGACATTCATGTCGTGTTTCGTGTGTAATTTCGTCTGGTCCAGCAGCTTTATTGTTTTTAATTTTTCAAAATTAACTCATTACTTTGTTCATTTGTAGCAATTATATTTTCAATGTGTTTTTGTGATTCTTTATCAAATTTGGGTTTATCACTTTTCTTTCAAAACTTTTTGACTCCAGATAAAAGATATAATTTTCATCCATATTAAGTTCATTGCGTTCACCAAGATCCTGCCAGTAGCTCACAAAAGCACTTTTCATTTTATCTTTTGCAAATATTAGCTTATTTTCTTAGTCTAGGATTCCAGTAGAGTATGTTCATTGTTTCAGTCTCTTTTAGAAGAGACCAATACTCTCAGCGAATCTAACTCCTGATTTTACGATATTAAAGCGGGAGGGTCGTCACCTGCGCACGCATAGGAATTAACAACACACACTAAAAACGCAAAGGCTCATGGGTAGACGCTTG